CTCATTAGTATTTCAAAATATTTAGGGTAATTTTTGTAATTATATCTGTTAAAATGAGATGTCATTATCTTCATTTTTGTATAATCTAAACGACAGTTTAACCCTTCACACTCTGAATATATATATATATATATATATATATATATATATATATATATATATGAAAAGAAAGAACAATAAGATATATAATCTGGTGTTCTTGTTTTTTTTTATTTTTACAAAACAGTGTTCAATGTAAATTTACAGAGCATAAATATTATAAATTAACTGATTTAAAATGTTTTTTTGCTACACAGTAATAACCATGTTTCAAAATAGTTAATAAGAATGAACACGCTACAACCCCTTGTCTGAATGATTGGATTCCTCTGTATCCTTGGAAAGAGTAAATTATGAATTTATATCTGTTTAACACTCAATAAATTTAAAAATGAGTTATTCCAATGTGAAGATGAAACTGAACTAATGCTTTTAATTTCATTATATAATTAAATTTAAAGTTTTTAGTTTCCATTTTTGAAACATGGTTATTACTGTGTAGCGAAAAACCATATTTTAAATCAGTTAATTTATATATATATATATATATATATATATATATATATATACAAACGTGTTTCATTGATTAATATAGACATTGTTTGTCTATTTATTTTTATAATAACCTTTTGGAGCTCTCTAATCATTTTCTTGACGTTAAGATGAAATTTATCAATGAAGAAGGGTAGTTTATTCCTACCCAAGTACCTTTGATTTTTTTCTAAGTTCATCCTCAGGAATGAATTACAAAGACATTTTGTGTGTTCGTGGGGGTGGTGGTTATTTTAAAAACCCGCGTGAACGCGCTCTATTATAATTATTCTAAATTTTTTAATTTATCCGTTGGTGCTATAGAATCTTTTTACAATATATATATATATATATATATATATATATAGTGTGTGTTTTAAGCCTTTTTTATGTTTATACGCTCTTTTTATAGATACAAATATTTAAGTAGATGCTCTGTTTATAATAAACAGTATTAACGACATTTACTGGCCCGAATGTCCGAGAAATTTTCATAGAAAATATACGTCCTCCGACAGGAATCGAACCTGTATCCTATACGGAACCGTCATATACCCTGACGTGCTTTTACCGATTTCGGTTAGCAAGGTCGATTTTAGGCCGGTAAATGTCGTTAATACTGTTTATTATACGCAGAGCATTTACTTAAATATTTGTATCTATAAAAAAGAACGTATAAACATAAAAAATGCCTAATAATTGTCAGAATTTGTCCATTTTTATATATATATATATATATATATATATATATATATATATATATATAAAGGAGTTTTATTGAAATTATATATATATATATATATATATAAAAGAGTTTTATTGAAATTATATATATATATATATATATATAAAGGAGTTTTATTGAAATTATATATATATATATATATATATATAAAGGAGTTTTATTGAAATTATATATATATATATATATATATATATATATATATATAAAGAGTTTTATTGAAATTATATATTTTGTGTGTTTGTGTAATTTCAATAAAATTCATTTACAGTGCAACATAAAAACTGATTTTTAATGCAATTCAGAAAGATACTATTAGAAAATGATATTTAATAACTTCTTACTCTGTTGAAAATCATTCATTAATTGATGATTTTCTACGGCTTATTAACCATTTGCAGTTCATTTAAAGGATAAGAAATATGTTTCGATATTTTTTAGGTAATAGTGATACATGTATTACTAATTAACCCATATGTTGGAGGGATGAAGGAGTGGATTCAAACATTTCTTCAGGCCACTTGCACATAAGTGAATATAAAGAGTCCAACTGGAATTAGAACTCGGCTCTCCGATTTACCACTGAGAGCCATTTGTCATTATACGATCTGCACATGCACATTGGTATTTCTAAGTGATTACTTGTATCGGTATTGACTCGGTTCGACGTTGCTTAACCTTGATCATACGGGAACCGGAGTTTCGAAGCGATCTGCCTTTAAGCCTTGTCGGAAATCAGAGTATGTATATGTTTTATAATCTGTAATACCTACGTGGTTTAATTGTTCTTCCCTAAGGATAATCTTGATGAAGATCCTCACGTCAGCGCCAGAAATTTCTGCTTACAAAGTGTATCAATCTAATTATTAATGCGTGATAATAACAGACAAAAAAAATGTCATGAATATGTTTTTTGTTCTTTTGGCACTTTGGTCTTCATGCACCAAAAGTACTGCATTGGAATCCTAAAAAAAAAAAAAAAGGGACTTTTTATTTATTTAGTTTTCTTCTAAATAAGAGAAAAAGAACTGAATAAACGCCTACATATAGCTACTTTTTCACCCCGGGTTGATGAGGAAGTCTTTGTTTGACTCAGTAACTAAGGGGAAAGGAAACAAACAGCTTAATCATTGAAATAATGTCTGACATTAAGTCTTTACCATGGCATGCAAAACATATGTGAAACTTGTTTTACTACTACCAAATTCACTCTGAATTTATCTATGAAATTATTACACTCTACCTTACTATTTCTTTTTCTTTGCTTTTTCTTAAACATGTCATATTTTTCTAATAAAATTTAAACTAATATCTGTTATATCTCTAAAATGAGATCTGTAATTATTTATATTATTTACATTATTCAGACTGTTGTTTTAATCTTTATTGTCATAGTCACAGCGTTTTGGCCGTTGTACGCTCCGGCCTTCTTCAGGTGATTCAAACTTCGAACTGAACATTTTATTTCACCCACCAGGCTAGATTATTCTATTTCACATGCCTCTTTTATCCACTGGTTCTGTGTCCTCAAGTACACATAGTCCAGTGGATAAAATCGTTGACTTTTATCCACTTGGCCAAAGTGACTTGACCCAAATAGTTTTGGGCCAATACCTGGCTACTGCAATGGTCAACAAAAATTTGTAGAGTTATGTTAGAGGGAGATAACTGAGACACCAGCAAGAAGCATGGCTCTTTCGAAATTCCAATCACCTGAAGAAGGCGTGAGTGTACAGCAACCGAAATTTCGTGAATATGATAATAAAGGTAAGGACAACTGTCCGAACAATGTAAATAAATGAAACTAAATAAGGTAAAAGTTGATCTCTTCAATTTTTCTCTAACAATCTGCAATGATATCGGTGCTGACCTGGCATCTCGATTTCAGTCACTTTCCCACGGCCATAACATGACAATCCTCTCTCTCTCTCTCTACTATAAATATTTTCATGGCAATTGTTCTGAGATCACATTGGGGTTATTTTTTTAAATGTTGGTTTTTATTTCCCTCCTCTTCACAGAAAAAATAATGTACAAATGGAGAGTTAGGATTTTAATGTACAAATGGAGAGTTAGGATTTTAATGTACAAATGGAGGATTTTAATGTACAAATGGAGAGTTAGGATTTTAATGTACAAATGGAGAGTTAGGATTTTAATGTACAAATGGAGAGTTAGGATTTTTTAATGTACAAATGGAGAGTTAGGATTTTAATGTACAAATGGAGAGTTAGGATTTTAATGTACAAATGGAGAGTTAGGATTTTAATGTACAAATGGAGAGTTAGGATTTTAATGTACAAATGGAGAGTTAGGATTTTAATGTACAAATGGAGAGTTAGGATTTTAATGTACAAATGGAGAGTTAGGATTTTAATGTACAAATGGAGAGTTAGGATTTTAATGTACAAATGGAGAGTTAGGATTTTAATGTACAAATGGAGAGTTAGGATTTTATAGAGATGTTGAGGTATTATAGTGTATGTAGTAAAATAGTAAGTAAGAATGTGTTGTTTTGGTGTAAGGAATACTGTGAAGATGAAAGACTTGCCTTCCCCACTCCTTTTTAGCCTTGTGTTGCATTTTTTTTATCTTTGCAAAATAAATATTACTCTCCTTATTGATACATTCACCGCATGAAATTAAGTCTCTGTTGATCGGTCTCACCGTTGAAATAGGTAGATGCAAACATAAGCTTTTTGTATCACCTGTGAAACCGTCTTCCGGCTTCTTGACTCCCTGTCACCCATGGTTTTCAAAAACTTACAAAGTTAAACGCCATCTTCTGCCGTCCTGAAAACTGTTCTCTTATTGTCCATTCTAATCACTGTTTTCTTATTTCTTTTCACTCTTTATAACCCCTTTGCATCTTAGTGGAATTATCGCCTTCCTTGAGATTAAAAAAAAACATCGGTTTCGACATATTTATTTAACTTAGTCTTTCCTATCTATTTTTTTTCTTTTCATATATTTCTTTAGATAACTGCATTTATGTTTCATTCATATCTGTCTATCTAATTTGGTTTATTCATATCTATTTATGTCTCTATATAGCTATTTCTGTTCGTAGCTAAGGTAGTGTGTTCATATATATATTTGCCTAGAAACGTTGTTCTGAAATAATGCCTGTCATGTCATAACACCATTATTAACAACATGTGACATAATCACCTATATTCATCTGTAGTATCATTCTTTCTCTACAAGATGGTTTTATTCAAAATTACTCAAAATGGTCTCCATCTACGCTGATGCATTTGTGTCACCTTTGAACCCACTTGTCAAATCCATTTTGGAAAAATTCTTTAGGCCACACGGTGGTCGAGCGTTGGCGTTCCATTACGCGCTTTGCCTTCAAATTTGGTTTCGCCTTCTTTAAACTTTTTCACCCATGCTTGCACATTACTTTCAACAATTATCACCTCAGCATAAACATTTCTGAGGCTAATCTGGATGTCGGTAGCAGTACATCTTTCTTTCGTCAAAAAGTCCATAACTGCACTTACTGCTTCGTTTTTAATACATGGAACACATGCATACACACTAAACAAGAACGTGTATCAGTCCTGCAGAAAGAATCATTCTATTTGATTTTAATTTGATTAACACTACATTTAATTTTTATGATTATTTGGTTTTATTTTCGTTTACTATTTTGATTTCCTTTTCGAATGACATTTCAGAGTAAATGGCAAAAAGCATTCCTTACATGACAAACCACTCGTATGACTCGGATCTAGATAGATCCGAGGCATACGAATCTATCTATCTATCTATCTATCTATCTATCTATCTATCTATCTATCTATCTATCGTTTGTTTGCGTCTGTCTCTCTGTCTCTCTATCTATCTATCGTTTGTTTGCGTCTGTCTCTCTGTCTCTCTATCTATCTATCGTTTGTTTGCGTCTGTCTCTCTGTCTATCTATCTATCTATCCTTTGTTTGCGTCTGTCTCTCTGTCTATCTATCTATCTATCTATCGTTTGTTTTCGTCTGTCTCTCTATCTATCTATCTATCGTTTGTTTGCGTCTGTCTCTCTGTCTCTCTATCTATCTATCGTTTGTTTGCGTCTGTCTCTCTGTCTCTCTATCTATCTATCGTTTGTTTGCGTCTGTCTCTCTGTCTATCTATCTATCTATCTATCGTTTGTTTGCGTCTGTCTCTCTGTCTCTCTATCTATCGTTTGTTTGCGTCTGTCTCTCTGTCTCTCTATCTATCGTTTGTTTGCGTCTGTCTCTCTGTCTCTCTATCTATCGTTTGTTTGCGTCTGTCTCTCTGTCTCTCTATCTATCGTTTGTTTGCGTCTGTCTCTCTGTCTCTATCTATCGTTTGTTTGCGTCTGTCTCTCTGTCTCTCTATCTATCGTTTGTTTGCGTCTGTCTCTCTGTCTCTCTATCTATCGTTTGTTTGCGTCTGTCTCTCTGTCTCTCTATCTATCGTTTGTTTGCGTCTGTCTCTCTGTCTCTCTATCTATCTATCTATCGTTTGTTTGCGTCTGTCTCTCTATCTATCTATCGTTTGTTTGCGTCTGTCTCTCTCTCTCTCTCTCTGTCTATCTACAGTTTGTTTGCGTCTGTCTCTCTGCCTATCTACAGTTTGTTTGCGTCTGTCTCTCTGTCTATCTATCTATTGACAGTGTCTATCTGTCTATTAACAATTTTTCATCTATCTATCTTTCTATCTATCTATTGACAGTTTATTTATGTCTATCTGCCTGTCTATCTATCTATCTACTGCCAATTTGTTTTCATCTATCTATCTATCGGCAGTTTGTTTACATCTATCTGTCAGTTTATCTCGCTATATTTATGCGTCTGTTTATCTACCTTGCTGTCGTTATGTCTGTCTCTTTGTCTGTCTATCGATTTATTTGTCTTGCTGTTTTTCAATCTATCCTATATATATATATATATATATATATATATATATATATCCCTGTCATTATATTTTCTCTCTGTTTACTTGTCTGTCTGTTTCTAAGCTGGTAGATATTTATTAAGTTTATTCTTGCAAAGGTTAACAGATACATAGCACCCTGGTCCATCAAATTTACATTAATTAATAATCAATCCGAAATAGATTCTTAATAAACATTCTTATCCGAGTGACAAGTCAATATACGAGAGTTTGATGCATATGTAACCAATGTTAGAATGTAATGTTTATTGTACAATACAATTTTCTATAGACATGAGAATTCTTAATCAACATTATTTTTTACACATTTTCGGATTTGCGTTATTGAGTTATTGGTAATAAAGATATGACCGATCACTAAAATCTTAACTATCAAATCTAGAGTTAACTGTTATCTTATCCTTATATAGCAGTCATACTAAGCAAAATCCTGGCGGTAGTCCAACGATTCCTAACAGAAAATGAATAATTTAAACATTTTGAGCCAAGCACTCTTATGCATGTTTCTAACTTTATTGGGTAAAGAAAAGAATACTCCACAATTATATCCACCCAATAATCCCTAGAATAATTCGAAACATAACCGTTACCACCCACAAAATAACCGTTACAATAATATAATATACAGCCTACAATGCATCATCTACCTGTATATAAATTGCCTAGCAAAAACAAAAAGCATATCACCTGCCGATTGCCGCAGTGTGTATATTAAAAAGAAGAGAGATACCGCAAACGTTTTTGGTTGTAATGTGGATTTTTTAAAATTCTTATGCTTTATTTTCCATAATTTTACTACACTGATTTCTGCTCTCGCGACTGTCAACAGGTAAAGGGTGGAGATTTCCACATACTATTAAAAGTAATTTATTTTTTCTTCTTTATGTTTTTCAATGTTAACTATTCTCGATATGAGACATTCTTTTTTTGCGTTAGTAATCCGAATTTATTTCTTGAACTGGTATGTATATATATATATATATATATATATATATACATATATATCAATCATTTCCCTCTAAGAAAGGCGACAATGTCACTAGAACGCAGGGCTTTACTGGGAGTGAAAGAGAATGAGAAGGCTAAGAATGGAGAGGATTGAGGAAGGAACCAAAAGGAACAGGGTTCAAGAAAACGGAAATTTTGATTGAGGTTGCTCTTAAGTATTTGAAAAATGTAGTTATCAGGGATGTAAGAAATCGTAATGGAGTTCCACAGGTGGGAGTTGCGACAAATGAAGCTCTTAGAATCTGAATGGCGGTTGCCTTCAGCTACTTCAACAGGAAAAAAAAGTTGTTGCCAAACTAGTAGCACGCTTAAATTCATGCCTTCGAGGCATGGGGTGGGAATCTCATGAAAACAGTTACCATGAAAATAATTATAGAAAAGACAGAGGGAAGCCACCTCACGTCGGTAGGAAAGAAACTGAAGTCGAGATGCCATGTCAGTATCGATTACATTGCAGATCCTTCTTTAGATTTTGTCAAGAATCTCAAGATGTAAGACAGGAACACCAAACCCGATATGGCAACAGTATTCAATGCACTGAAGGATGGTAGATTTATAAATATGTCAGATGGATTCTGACGAGAAAAATATTCTGAAACTACACAGGAACTAAATTTCCTTGCAGTAGATACTGCAATTGATTCGATATTGTGGCTCAATTTCATGTAATTGGATAATGTTGAAACTATTTTTCGGAGTGACATTTACTTCAGTATTTAGTTTCTTTGCTTGTACACATCTTTTTCATACATCAGTTGAAATAATTTTGAACTGCTATGCCAACTGCAGATTCGAAACGCATATGAGATTTCAATTTCTCCGAGCACGCACCAAATGATACATGTTTGACAAAATTATGCGAGCCATTATGTTTCTTTTTTTCTGTCTTTTAGAAGCGTTCCTAAGATTATTTTCATATGTGAACTTATCTTCTTCATATATGAACTTATCTTCGTCAGGCGTGTTTAGCTGATGTACATAACATATTGTTATTTTGTTTACAGTATGTTTCACTCTGTACAATGTCCGGGCGCTACTCATTGTAGAGTGTTATGTAAAGGAGAGGATAACATTTGATTCTAGAGTTGAATAGGTTAAGATTGTCGTGATCAGGGAAACATCATCTTGGGAGTCAGTTCCACAGAGCAGTGGTTGGCGGGAAGAAGCTGTTCGAGTAGAACTTACTTGTTGCCAACGAAATACGGAGGAAATGTGGATGATTTGCTACGATGTAAGTGGCTGGGCGGGTCGTAGCCGTGAAGCCGTAGAGCTGAAGGAAACCAAGGAATCGATCACTTTCAATGTTAGTAGCGACAGAGAAGTGATATACTCGCCGCATCCCGCCTGTGTGAGATAGGTTGAAGGGTGGAAAATTATTCGTCTCCACAAGGAATCGGAGACGCTTTTGATCTCTGTTAAAACAGTAGAGTGAGGACTGGGCAGCTCCCACAAAATATGGCAAAAGTACTCCCTTTTCTGTCTAATTTTGGTCTTATAAAGGTAGAGGAGTGCATGAGGAGTCAGGTACTTGCTGGAGCGGTACAGGTAGCCGATCTTTTTACAGGAATCTTTAGCGATGGATCGTATGTATGGGTCCCCTTTGATATCAGTGTTGAGTGAGAGCCAAGATTATCTCAAGGCCCGCTGATTCCTCGTGGAGACATCTGTCAATCGTGACTGGTGGTAGTTCGGGGTTCGATCGGTGGTGATGGAATGCTTAGATAAACGCACGATTACACATGTTGTCTATTTCCAAAAGCTATGAATCCACAATTTATACTTTCTTTACGTTGGTTTGAAAGACTTAATCCTAGAGCGATGCCTAACAATTTAGCCTGTTCAGTCATTGGCAATGAGACTTGTTTTCACACTTGCTTCCAGCTGCTTCTGTCCTGTGTCCAAATAAAACGTACATTTTTCACACTTACATTCATTACAGCTAAACAATTATACGACTTGCTGGGGAACTCCTGTGTTGAATAATATATAATTTGTAGCGATATTTCTGTGGACCCGTGCCAAATAAACTGCGTACAAACAATTATACCCAATGCCGAAAAAGCAGATGAGATTTCTCGATTATAAATACATCATTTGTGTAATATATCTAAAACCAACGTAGTGTCGTTTCGTAATCTACGTTCAGACTCTGAGTTGGTTCCTCTGAATGGCCCCTATCTCAATTAGGTCGTCTGAACGTCTAATGGATCACAAATTCACTTCAGATCTCCACTTGGTCGTCTTGGATATGACGATAAACTACATCCCCCTCCATGGTAAGATGATATACTACATCCAGCAGCAAGGCCTCTGATCAGGAGGTTTTCAGAAGCGTGGAACCAACTCTTCATTGCCAGTGTTCCCAGGTCTACCCTGACCCGGGGTGGTAGCACCTGTTAGTGTCCAAGCTATGGGCAAATATTTGGCACCGAAACTGAGGCAAAAAAGCATTATGAAAATGTAAAAATAGGTTTTAATACCAGAAATCCCTTGTTACCAGTAATAAATCTTTGAAAAAAAAGAAAACTATTACCAGCAATACGTTTTTGAAAAAAAATATTACCAGCTATAAAATTTTGATGAAAAAACCTTACCAGAAATAGATTTTTGACAAAACAAAAATATTACCAAAAAAAAAAAAAAAGTTGTCGACATTAAATCACCCATTGAGGTTGATAGGCCGTAAAACAAAATAAACCGAACCTCTACTTGGACACATATATACGCTCCACTGATAAATATGGCTAACAGATTCTAACGCTCCAGCAATATCTATCTCTTTCTGCATTTCTTTATCTATACAAGAGTTATATTAGGTCAAAAAAGGAGTATTGCTTTCATAATTGGGCAGGAGTTACTCGATCCTCACTTTACAGCCTTCATTGACTTAAAACTCGTTTATACAACCGTGTGGTGAAAGACGTGTATTCCATTCTACTTGCAAATGCGACGGTGCAAGCCTATCGATGCATTATAGCTATTTTCATTGCAAATTTTATGATACGTACTATTTAGTTTCACCAGTTCAGATCTCTACAACAAGAATACGCCATGTTACTTCCACAGATTTGAACCACCATCTTTGTTCCCGTGTTTAAAATATAAGAAGTATGAAGCAGATACACAATGTCACCACATTGTGTATCTGAGATACAACTATGAGTGTTTCCATGCACCCTTCAATCTTGATCTCGTGAAGCCAAAAGTCATCTGTTATCTATCCTCCTTATCCTCATAATATGCATTTCTTACCACCTTCTCTTCCATTCATGTGACATGCCCCATTTTTCATTCCGTTTCGATAATAAAGTCCAACTTGAATCGAACTCGAGCCTTATGCTGCGTGAAATTTTGTTAAAAATAACTCATTACTTCCGGGAAGAAAATATGTTCAAAAGTGATTATAATATGAAATGGGTATAAAAATTTATCGGACTAACTCAGATCACAAAATCGGTTTCCTGATGATTTGTCGTTAAAATACTGAAGTTTAAGAAGTGTGTCGAACCGAGACATTTTCGCCAACCCCATCACATAACACTAGAATGTAACATGTCTAATTGTTTGTGTATTACCTAACATTGTCAAAGGTTGTTTGATCTCAGTTTAAAACTGAATGTTTAATTGCTAATTTCCATGGCAATGAAGATGTCGTTAGTTTTATGATTAAAATAACATTTGTTTTTCTCATTATTTCTAAAACTTCTTTTTGTCTTGGCCAATTTTACTTTATCTCATACATATTATGAACATGTTCATATGACACATATAAATCTTTATGCTTAAGTATTCATTACTTTTACCTTATATTCGGTACATTACAGACACGCACATTAATTTATAGCTAAATATTCATCTCATCTTCGGCAACATTATGAACACGGAACTATGTCACTTTTATATATAGATATATATATAATATGTGTGTGTCTTATGTTTACGTATTCATCTCTTCATATTCCACACACTGGGGACATGTACACCTGAACTTCGTACATACCTTTATCAATAAGTATCCATTATTTTTACCTTATTTCAACAAATTATAAATACGTATATATGGGGTTCGTACATAACTAATTATTCATCATTTTTTCACCTTATATTCGACACATTATAGGCATGTACATATCTAATTTATATATCTTTTATTCTTAAAAATTAAACACTCTTATCTTATCTTCGACAAATTATGAACACTTACAATGGGCAACGTACATAAATTTAAACCTAAAGTATTTATTACCTGTTTACATAAATAATCTTTCTTCCAATACCGATACGTATGTATTTTTAGCTTACATTCATGTAAGTCATTTGCACCTTTCTAAATAGAGTTGTGAACATTCTGTCTTCATATGGGTCGACCTGCATTTTCTTGTGCCTGTTATGTACTAAAGATTTAAGCTGGCGGCCAATGCCTTCAGACTCGCAACAGAAAACAATATCAAATTTTTAGAAACAAAAGTATTTCTCTGAATGGTGTGAAAATTAACTGGAAAAGCAAAGATTATGAACTGGTTTCTTCTATAAATAGATTGCAAATACATTTACTGTTTTGTACTTTTATTACTGTAAACGCTTTTGTTTCCTTTCAGATGCAATTTTATTTATTTGTACGCCTTATTGGCTGCGCTAAGACAATCACATTTCTTGAAGGGAGATTATTGAATGAACAGTATAGGTCGCAACAGTAACTCCGACTGTAGCGTTAAATAATATTTATGTAAAACTTGTGTGCACCTGAAACCTGAGATAAAAATTCGTTAGGCTATGCTATGTTTCGACAAACTAAAGACGATCACAATGCAAGTGGGTATAGTTAAAAAGTACATTAATGAATGATTAAATGCTAATTAATGTATATAAAATTATAAAATTTATTCTCATATAAGTAATAATTAATGCAGTTAAGAAATAACATCAACTTTCTTTTAGGACTTGGATAAATCAGACTTCGAAAGTAGTATAAGATATCGTAGTTGTCTTCTTTTCGTGCCGCGTCTCCTCAGAATATCGGAAATCATGGGTCTTCACAAGTTATTGTCCTTTGTATCGACTATGCGAAAACTATTCTTTCTCATGAGTGTAATATTTGCGGTTGAATGTGATGAAAATAGAAGATTATTGACCAGGAATTATATCCCTGATTTAATTTCTTTTTTCATCAAAATATTTCGTTTGATATTTCTTCAAAATCTCTCAATTGAATAATATATGTGGTAATACTGGAATACTGTACATTGGCTGAATTTTCATATCTTCCAGTAGGAGAATTACCATAATCGAAAATAAATGTCTGGAACATTCATCAGGGATACTCAAGCCAAATCCAAAAAAAAATCGACTATTTCTCCCTCCCTCCCTCTATCCATCTCTCTCTCATATATATATATATATATATATATATATATATATATATATATATATATATAAACTGTGTATTTGGGCAGCAAAACATCTTCTATACAAGTTCAATAAAAACGATTAACAAGAAACTGCAATTAAGATTTTTCAGCGTTTTTCTGTTTCGATGAAGGTTTTGTTTTCTGGGCATAATTGTACATAGATATATAAGTGTATAGACTCAGCTAAAACAGAAATAAAAAAAACACACCTGATAATAACTAGCTGAACAGCCGAAAGCGCTCTGATATGTAGAACATTCAAGTAGATTTTATACAATTTATGCCCAGAAAGGAAAATACTTATAGGGACACAAGAAAAATTGTGTAAAAAGCTGTATCGCAATACGTTGTCTGTTATATTTAATGAAACTTATACGTACACACATATACACACACAAACACATATATCTGTGTATTTAATTGTATGTTGCTATTCTTATGTATATAAGAGTGCTTTAAATACTTTAAATAAATGCATGAACGTAAAACTAAAGTTCAGACAATTTAAGAACGTGAATAATTTAATAAACAAAAGGAATTGTTTTTCCAATGTTCGTACTC